GTTAACTAATTTTCCAGCTATTATAGCAACAAATCATTAATATTAGACAAATAAAAAAAAACACACATACAACTTCTTAGATTAAGAAAGATACAGTCCTAAAAGAACCAGAATTATATATATTTTTTTGTGGTTTATTGTAGACCGAACCAACAAACAAAAAATATAACCTAAAGGGGGAAATACATATGTACATATAAGTAATAGAATATTATAAGAATAATAAAAGAGGCGTGTTTTAAGTTTTTTTTAGTAATAATTGTTTATACATATGCATGTATTGAATACCAAGAGTAATGCCCTTGATTATGGGTTTAAAACAGTGGTGCTCAAACACATACTACCATAACTACCATAGTTTTATTTGTGTTGGTAAAGCAGCAGAGAACAGAATTCAATTCAAAATAAAAGTATACTAATAAAATGACTACAAACTATAAAGTAAATGCTAACTGTCAAATATTTATTATGGATTTTGACAGCCAGCGTATAGCAACGTCTATATATAAAAAACTATCAACAGTTCTCTCATGTTATCCTACATTCATTCGGCTTTCTCAAAATTTTGTTGTTGTATTTCTGTGTGTATTTTAAAAACGTCGCGCACAGACCTTGCTTTGACAAGTGCTGATCAGCAACTGATTTGATTTTGTTTTTCAAGTTGAGAGCAAACCAACTGATATTGCTCATTATAAAAAGAAGAAGAATTAAACCTGTAGTGTATGTGTATCAACTTAGCGTCAGCAGAATTTTCTTACCCTATCACGCGTGCTATGACACGGCCATATTGAGCTTCTCTGGTTTAATACATTTTAGGCCATTACATTGGTAATAGAAACAATAACACACATGTCTTAAACGAAAAAAAAACTCCTTTAGTTTTTGTTTAAAAAATAGAAAATTTATGTTTTTCATTAGCTATTTTTTTAAACATGTTTGTTTTGTATTTAATTTGCAATATAATTATTTTAATTAAATGTTCACTTATTATTAGCAACAACAAAGACAATACTAACATTAATAACTTGTCTAAGCAATTGTATAATTTTTATTTTGTATTGTTCTATAGAGTTTTTCATTAATTTATATTATTTGTCAGTATGTGTATGTGTGTTTGGCTAATGTATTATTGTTGTTGTTGTTGCTAATTAAATATACATTATAATTATTAAGATTTTGTAATAAATTGTTTAGCAACAACCATACAAAATGTTTTGCTATTATTTTGCAACATTGTCCATGGAGTTGAAATTGTTTTGACATGATTTATGTAAAATTTTAGTTTTTGTTTAAATCTACAATAGAGAATAAGTTTTTGAACAAATCAATAAATTTAAGCTGTGACTGTAGAAATATTTCAAGTAAATTAAAAAAAAGGTGGAGGAAAAGTTGAAACATTGGAGCTGAAGGCAATTTGTAGAGTTAAGCAATATGTTGCTTAGAAAGAGCTTAAAAAGCTTTTTCTTTTGAAAAGCTTTTAAAATCGGATCAACTTTTCTTAGTAAAAGCTGTCTCAACTCTGACTAACTTTTCTAAATATAAGATCTTCTGATAAATATTAATAAAGAAAAGCTTTTTCTACTCTCTTACAGAAAAGCTTTTTACAATTTAACGAAATTTTAGAACCTTATAATATTGTCCAAAGAAAAATTCCAGATTCTGATGATATTATGTAAAGAAAAACCCTTCATACTCTCTCACAGAAAAGGTTTTTACAATTTAATTAAAATTTTTTGAAGAAAAGCTCTTTTGAAACTTGAGAAACTTTTGCAATGAAAAGATTGTTAAAGTCTAATTAAATCTTTGCTCTTCGGACTCTGATCAAATTTTCTAAACTTCAATAAAGATCTTTAGACACCGATCAACTTTTTTAGGAAAAGCTTTTAAAACAGCGAAAAAAAAATTCAAAAAATCCTAAGATTCAGATCAAATTTTCTTAAGTAATAATCTACCGATCAAATGTTATGAAGAAAATATCATCAGATTCCGATCAACTCTACTAAAGAAAAGTTCCTAAGAGTCAGATAAACTTTTCTAAAGAGAAGATCTTAAATTTCTGATCAACCTTTTTAAAGTAAAGATCACCAGACTCTAACAAAATATTCTATGGAAAAGATTATCAGACTCTGATGAGTCTTTTCCAAAGATGAGTCTTTTCCAAACTCTGATCAACTTTTTTACAGAAGTGATCTTAAAACTCTAATTAAATATCCAATAGAAAATATCTTCAGACTCTGATCAACTTTTCGAAAGAAAAGATCTTCAAACTCTGACCAACATCTTTAAAAGTAGGTTCTACAGTCAATGACAAACCTTTGTTAAGAAAAGCTCATCAGACTCCCGCAACATGTTGTCACTTTAATATCATCGGACGCCGATCAAATCTTCTAAACAAAAGTTCCTTAGAGTCAGATAAACTTTTCTAAAGAAATGATCTTTAAAGTTTGATCAACATTTTTAAAGAAAAGATCACCAGACTCTGATCGAATATCCTGAAGGAAAGATCTTCAGTAAATATTCTACAAAAAGATCATCAGACTCTGATGATTTTTTTCAAAGAAAAGATCTTCAAACTCTCATCAACTTTTCTACAGAAGTGATCTTCAAACCCTGATTAAATATTCAGAAGAAAATATCTTCAGACTCTGATCAGCTTTTCTAAAAAAAAAAAAGACCGAAGATCCTGAAGGAAAGATCTTCAGTCTCTGATCAACTTTTCGAAAGATCTTCAAACTCCGATCAACTTCTCTAAAGTTATGTTCTGCAGTCAATGACAAAGATTTCTGAAGAAAAGCTCATCAGACTCCGGCAACATGTTGCCACACTTGTATAGATCTAAACACGAAAAAACTTTCCATTTTATATAAATTTAAAACGAAACCAATCTTAACAACATGTTTCTCTTAACTCTAAACAACAACAACAAAATCTTCTTCACTCAACATTGGTTTTCTTCTTTTTTCTTCAAATAAATCTAAATACTTCAATCTTTCAAATCTCCACCAAATAAAAGTATAAACTACTTCAACCATCTCAATGTCAAGTTTATCAGACGATCATCATCTATTGGCAAAAATAAAACGAAACTGAAATCAACAATAAAATGTCACAACCAAAAAAATGTAGTGACACATTACCTTAACCATGGTTTTCTTCTAACTGTCAAACTAAAGACAACATATCTTAAATATCTTAATACCCTTAGCTAATCTTTGGCTATAAACAACAAAAGGCTACAACAACAACAATGATAGATAGATAAAACAACAAAAAATATATCACCAAATTTACTTTAGAAATCGTTAAACTCCCTTTTTTTCCACTTTGTCTTTTTATGCACAAAGCAATGGGAAAAATATTAGGGGTAATAAAAAGTTTGTGACCCACTAAGATTAAAAATTGCTTAAGTTACCTCCGCTGAGGGTGAATTTCAAATCAGTTAAAATGTTTAAAACCAAAATTTATTTTGACCCCTAATATATTTTGCCCGTAAGTTGATGAACGTTACGTTTTTTTTTTGCGATTTGCTGATTTTTTTTTGTTGGTCTGTTATTTCAAAGTGATGTCACGGAATCCGTCAGTTGGATTTAGTTGGTATATAGTGGCAGCAGCAGTAGTAGTAGAACTTGTAGTGGTAGTCATCGTAGTAGTAAGTAAGTTAGTAAATAGAACGACAGTTGACTTGTTAAAGCTATAACTGATGACATTAAATGATTAAATTGCAAAAAATATAAAAAATAAAAGCGATTTGTAAAACGGTTTAAAGCGTGACGATAAAAATAAATAAAACAATAGAGTTCAAACTATGCAATCAATTTGGTATTAACAAACTGTTTTTTGCTGTTTTTTTTTTCTTCGCTATAAATTGTTAATAAGTTAATCAGACAAGATGTTGAAATTAAATTCTTTAACATTAAGTTAAAGGAGCGTTTAAATGGGGACTACAAAACCAATATTAAGGAAATAAAGTTATTAATTATGATGATCATTCTATCAGCTCTTCAATGCTGATTAACTTTTTAAAGAAAAGCTCTTTAGACTGTGATCAGCTTTTAAAAAGGAATTCAAATCAGATTGTGATAAATTTTTCTACGCGAAAACTTTTAGTCTTCATCCTCTGATGATCTTTTCTAATTAAAAGATCTTCATATTCCAATGATCGATTATGATCTTTAGAAATCGTTAAAGACATTCATATTCTGATGAACCTTTCTTATAAAAAAGGACTCTTTTCTGAGGAAGAGTTCGTCAGAATTTGTTGATCTTTTCTAAAGAAAGGATCGTCATATTATGTTGATCTTTTCTAAAGAAAAGTTCGTCAGACTCCGACAATATTTTCAAAAGAAAAACTCTTTTCTAAAAAAAAGTTCGTCAGACACTGATGATCTTTTCTGAAGAAAGGTTCGTCAGACTCTGATGATCTTTTCTAAAGAAAAGTTCGTCAGAAGCTGATGATCTCTTCTAAAGAAAGGTTCATCAGACTTTGATGATATTTTCTGAAGAAAAATTCGCCAGCTCTGATGATCTCTTCTAACGAAAAGTTCATCAGACTTTGATGATCTTTTCTGAAGAAAGGTTCGTCAGAATCTGATGATCTTTTCTAATGAAAAGTTCGTTAGACTCTGATGATCTTTTCCAAAGAAAAGTTCGTCAGAAGCTGATGATCTCTTCTAAAGAAAGGTTCATCAGACTTTGATGATCTTTTCTGAAGAAAGGTTCGTCAGAATCTGATGATCTTTTCTAATGAAAAGTTCGTTAGACTCTGATGATCTTTTCTAAAGAAAAGTTCGTCAGAAGCTGATGATCTCTTCTAAAGAAAGGTTCATCAGACTTTGATGATATTTTCTGAAGAAAGATTCGCCAGCTCTGATGATCTCTTCTAACGAAAAGTTCATCAGACTTTGATGATCTTTTCTGAAGAAAGGTTCGTCAGAATCTGATGATCTTTTCTAATGAAAAGTTCGTCAGACTCTGATGATCTTTTCTGAAGAAAGGTTCGTTAGACTCTGATGATCTTTTCTAAAGAAAAGATCGTCTGAAGCTGATGATCTCTTCTAAAGAAAAGTACATCAGACTTTGATGATCTTTTCTGAAGAAAGGTTCGTCAGACTGTGATGATCTTATCTAAAGAAAAGTTCGTCAGATTTTAATGGTCGTTTCTAAAGAAAGGCTTTGGAAAATTGTATGAATAACTTAAGACTAATATTAACATTATCTTGTCACTTACCGCTTCTGTTTTAATATTCAATGCCACATCGACATGTGTAGGTGACGCACAATTGTTGGCCGTAACTAAAGGCGCCGGTGTTGAGGTAGGAGTTATAGCTCCTACAGCCGCTGGTGGCGCAACAGTTGTTGTCGTTGTTGTTACATTTGTCGAAGAGGTGTCCAGACCACAACTACCATTACTATTATGACCAGGAGTAGCTCTGTCGGGAGAATGAGGCGATACACCGCTTAACGAAGCAATAGCTGCACTAGAATATGGTGATGATGAAGGCGATTTGTTAGTATTCGAATTATTGGCTATGGCCGCTGTAGTGGATGAAGAAGCCGTGGTTGATGTATTCAACGAAGTCGAGGAGGATGAGGAAGAATTCGACGAAGACGAGGATGAAGAAGAGGATGATGAGGAGGATGAAGAAAGCAGGGCAGAGGTGGTACACACTAAGGGACCCAAAGAGTTCGCTGCATTGGCTTTATTAGAATTGGGTGTAAGTCGCTGATTGTTGGTGGTGGAGGTGGGTATATGATTTGATCCCGTCGTGGTGGTTGTTATTGAAGGTGAGGCCATTGAGTGGGTGGGACTGGCTAAACTGACACTGGCTGTTAGATGGGCACCCAAGACACTGGTGGCATCGACAAATTCACGTTTCATAACACCGCCACCTGATACACCCAGAGAGGCGGTTATGGCAGCTTCGCATGGCAATACGGTGCCCAACATGGTGGGTGCGTTATCGGCGTTACGATTGCTACTGTTGCTCTCGGTTTCTTCGCAACCTTCCGCCATGTCAGTTACACATTGTGATGAGGAGACTGCAAAAAAAATGGGAAATGATACGGGAATTAAGAAAGGAAGTAAATTCTTTAATAAATTATAAAGAATTTCTGGTTTTAAGTTTTAAATTCCTTAAAAATTTTGAACAGTGTTTTCTTGCCCCCCCCCCCCTTAAAAAAAGAACACAACAAAATACATTAGACTACAAAAACCGACTTTGGCCGAAATCCTTGTCTGCAATCATAATTTAAACATGTCAGAGTCCTACAACATACTTTTGACCAAATGCATTGACCAGCAATAATAAGCAAGTGTAAGTGTATATATGTCTGCCCAAGTAAAAGTTCTACCCATTCATTAACATTTGCTACAAACAACATACATATGGAGACGTCTCATACGTCTTTCAACGCCTTAGGACTTAAGGGGTAAAACCGGCAGAAAAGAGTGAGAGAGAGAAGCATGTATATAAGTTAAATAAAATGAATGGGAAAGCAATACTTGTGTCAGTAAGTATACGTAAGTAGGTGAGTGTTGTGTGTGGGTGTATGTGGGCACATGATGTCCTGTAACATGTCCTGTTGTTGACGTTTGTTCATAATTTTTGTTTTGCATTGTTTGCTGCTAACGTCGTTTGTACATGTAAACATCTACAAATGCATAAATGCATTAATAAACACTCATACTTAAACTTTTGCTCACACATACACAAACACACTCTCATGCATATCCTAAATATACATAACATTATCCTATAAACATGTTTACTCTCACACACACACACTCATATTTCTACTTAGATACTCATTTGCATGCAATAAGCAAAATTAATTATAACAGCTCTCTACTTGAACTACTTAAGCAATAACAACACAAATATATATATAAAACCAAACCTTATTTGCCTGACTACCTTCCCCCCTTCTCAGGCCTTCATATACACACAAATATGCATATAACCTGAGGTCTTATAACTGATATATAATTCCGTTTGTTTCTGGCCATATTTGGTATTTTATGTTTTTGTTGTTATTTCTGTTTTATGTATTTTTTTAATATTATTTTTATTATTTGCTAAGAGGTTTTTGTAAAGGAGTTTAAACTCATTAAAGGCCAGTTTTTATTGTAAATGTATGTGTTCACACATAATGACTAGTCTTCTCAGGCTTTCCATTACCATCAACCTTCTTCAATCCAATACACAAAGAAGGAGTTTCATTAACTAAGTTTGTTCAGCAAAACTTTCTCAATATCAACACATATGTATATACAACGGAGGGAATGCATGAATGTCTAAGAGAAGTTCACTAAACCTTAATTCATTACACTCACACACACATACATACCTAAACACTCGAAAAATTATCCTTATTTGTTGTTGTAGTTTTTGTAGTCGCATTCATTATGCATTAAAATCATCGCCCCCTAAAAACAGACACTCTCATATATACATTTACTCACGAAATCTACATTTCGTGTCCTTTATGTTTGAGTCTGTGTGTTTTAGTCCTTTACTTCTACATAAGTAATATTAGTTGTTTTTGTTAGTTGTTATTGTCCTGTAGGTGTTCAATGTGTTTGTGTTTTGGTTGGGTTTAGAAGAGTGTATTTGTTTGCAGCTAAAAAGTACAAAAAAAAGAAAACCCTTAAGCTTCCCCTAAAAACACAGCAGAGGAAACAGTGGATTATAACAACGACATAACTTTTAAAATATTAGGAACTTTTCTAAAGAATAGAAACATCACAAGTAGAGTCTGAAAAGCCTTTTTTTAGAAAAATTTATCAGTCTAAAAACCTTTTCTTGAAAAAATTTGGTTTCTCTTCAGAAAAGTTTTTCAATGTCTGAATAGATTTTCTTTGGAAAAGTTGATCAGTATCTGAAAAGCTTTTTTAAGAAAACTTCCGAAAAGCTTTTTTTGATAATTTTATCTGAAATAAACTTATCTGTTAGATTCCGAACAGTTTTTCTTTCAAAATGTTGCTCAGAAATTAAAGAGCTTTTCTTTCGAAAAGTTCAAATCAAACTCTGAAGAGCTTTCCTTTAGAAATGTTGATCAGAGACTGAAAATATTTTCTTTAGAAAAGTTGATTACAGTTTTTGTTAAGAAAAGTTGATGAGAACATGAAGAAGATATAATCAGAGTCTGAAGTGTTTATTAGAAAAATTGATCAGAAGAGCTTTTCCTTCGAAGGCTTTACTTTAGACAATTTGGTCAAAGACTAAATTTGATCAGATACTGATGAGCTTTTCTTTAGAAGAGTTGATCAGAGTCCAATGAGATTTTCTTCAGAAGAGTTGATCAGAGTCTGATGAGCTTTTCTTTAGAAGTGTTGATCAGAGTCTGATAAGCTTTTCTTTAGAAGAGTTGATTAGATTCTGATGAGTTTTTATTTAGAAGAGTTGATCAGAGTATGATGAGCTTTTCTTTAGAAAAGTTTATCAGAATATGATGAGCTTTTCTTTAGAAGAGTTGATCTGACTCTGATGAGCTTTTCTTTAGAAAAGTTGATTAGAGTCTGAGCTTTTCTATTAAAAAGTTGATCTGAGTTTGAAGAGCTTTTCTTTTGAAGAGTTTTTCAGAATCTGAAGATAATCAGTTTTGAAAAAAAAGAAAAAGATTTTTCCTGGAAAAGTTGATCCGAGCCTGAAGACGGATTTTTCACCTAAAATTCAATTTCTCACTAAAAATTTAATTTTTCACTAAAAGCTAAATATTTCAGTAAAATTAAATTTTTCAAAAAAAAAAAAATTTAATTTTCATTAAAAAAGCAATTTTTCCCTAAAAATGCAATTTTTCACTAAAAATGCAATTTTTCACTAAAAATGCAATTTTTCACTATCAATGCATTTTTCACTAAAAATGCAATTTTTCACTATAAATGCAATTTTTCACTAAAAATGCAATTTTTCACTAAAAATGCAATTTTCACTGAAAATGCAATTTTTCACTAAAAATGCAATTTTTCACTAAAAATGCAATTTTTGCTAAAAATTCAATTTATAAAAAAAAATCATTTTTTCACTATAAATTCAAATTTTTAATAAAAATTAAATTTTTTCACTAATATTTAAAATTTTTACTAAAAATTTTAAATTTTCTCTCAAAACTAAATTTTTCAAAAATAATTCAAATTTTCACAAAAAATTTAATTTGTTTTTAAAATTTGGACCACTGTACATAAACTAAATTGGAGACGTTTTTAACGTAATTCTTCCTTTGGAACTACATATTTACTTTCTCTTTTTCTACTAGTGCATGTGGATATATTCTCTACAATTTTGTTTATATGTTTGTAAGAATCCTGCATGTAAATGAGTGAGTTTGTGTCCTTACAAGAGTATGTGTGCAATGTAGACATTCGTAGCAGTTGTAACATTGTGGTTTACAATCAAATTTTCTAATATGCATGTTGTTGCAATTGCTTTGCAAAAAAATATATATAAATGAGCAGAGCAACAATACACTTACTCAGTCTCTGGTAATTTCTTTTCCCTGGTGGGGTTTTAACTTTAGGAAGTTTTTAAATAAAAAGGGGGATTTCTTAAAGGAAAAATTAAATAAATCTTAAAGTATTAAATATGGAAATTAATGAAATTTATAGCTAAAGTTTAATAATTTAGAAAAATTAAGCCTTGCCAAAGATGAAATACAATTCGTGTACGAATAATTGTTTAAAAATAAGAAAAACCAAAGTTTTGCTTAGAATCCTGATAACCAGAATACCCTGTTTTTAAACCCTTTCAACATGTGTTTGTCTAAGCCTAATTTTGTTTTCATTCTCTATAATACAACAAGAATATTGGGTAAATTATGTGCATATGTATGGCAAAGAGTATAATTGGTGTGTGTATTAAAAAGTTAACTTTGTATACTATTTGCAACATGCTGCAACTATTGTCTTATTTAAGAAGATTTTTTTGTATGCAATCCATGAGTTTTCTATAGTCAGACATTTCATAAGGTATTTGAAAAAAATGTTTTTTTCTTCTTTTCATCTGCAAGTGTTAGTAATGATCAATATGTTCATTTATCTTGTGAGTGTCTGACTAAATTATTAAAATGTATTGTAAGCAAATTTTCATCAAGAAATTATTGTTGGTTTTGTTATTTTATTGTTGCTAATATTGTTTTTCTATTTTGGATTGAGATTTTTTCCTGGGTATGGAAAGTGATTTTGCAAATATTATGAAAAAAAAAGTTCCTCACAGTTCGGAGCAATTTTTTTATAGAAAGTTCCTTACAATTCGAACAAATTTGCTATTGAAAAATTACTCTCAGTCGGAGCAACTTCTCTATATAAAAGCTTCTTACAGTTAGAGCAACTTTTGTATATAAAAGCTTCTTACAGTTGGAGCTAATTTTCTATATAAAAGCTTCTCACAGTTGGAGCAACTTTTCTATAGAAAATCTGCTCACAGTTGGAGCCACTTTTGTATAGAAAAACTTCTTACAGTTGGAGCAACTTTTCTTAAGAAAAGCTTCTTACAGTTGGAGCAACTTTTCTTAAGAAAAGCTTCTCACAGTTGGAGCAACTTTTCTTAAGAAAAGCTTCTCACAGTTGGAGCAACTTTTCTTAAGAAAAGCTTCTCACAGTTGGAGCAACTTTATTTAAGAAAAGCTTCTCACAGTTGGAGCAACTTTTCTATAGAAGAGCTTCTCACTGTTGAAGCAACTTTTCTATAGAAAAGCTTCTCACAGTTGGAGCAACTTTTCTATAGAAAAGCTTCTCATAGTCGGATCAACTTTTCTGTAGAAAAGCTTCTCACAGTTGGGGCAACTTTTCTATAGAAAAGTTTCTCACAGTTAGAGCAACTTTTCTGTAGAAAATCTTCCCATATTCGGTGAAACTTTTCTATAGAAAGCTCCTCAAAGCCGGTGCAAATTTTCAATAAAGAATTTCAACTTTGGAGTCCCATATTAATCTCTAACCAATTCCAGCATAATCATATATTTATTCATAAACCAAAACATTTTAATTTCATATTTATTACAACCTCAAACAAATATTATTTTTAACTCTCTACTTGTTTTAAACT